AATTGATGTAAACCTACAATCTACTCGCAATCATGCCAAAAACTTGTAAAATATGTATGGCCATTACCCTTCACTGATTTTATTTTCTCTTGGTTTTCATAGAATCCAGGTTTGCCTTTTTTTCTACAAGGAGAATCAGAATTTCATGATGGAAACCTTGGTGGTGCCATACAATATTTCAGCATAGCTCTGAACATATTGGAGCACATCTCTACGTCGCCTCTTCATGCTGAATTGAGAGTTAAAGCTTTACTTAGGAGAGCACAGTGTTTCTTTTTTCTCCCGGTAAGACTCTGACCCTTTACATTTGTGGTGGTATATCAGTTAGCCATAGATCTTAAGTAAACAAAATAATAAGGTTAATGCCTTTATTAAGTCTATTTTCGTTCCTGGTTGCTTAGGGGAAATAGTTCTTCAAGGATATTTCGTTTTCATTTTTCGTGTAAGAAATAGAAAACATGTACCGTGTTTCTATCAAGTTATAGAAACATGAGTGGAACTTGGTAGAATGAGAAATGCTGTGAGAACACGAGCGGCAGGCGAGTGTTTCCACAGCTTTTTCGAGTTCTCCCAAACTTTCACGAGTGTTTCTATAACCCTTTTTTTAACGCAAAATGGATAGCTTTATATATTTATTTTTATTATTATTATTATAATTTAATCTATTTGTTTCATGCACAACAAATTACAACACACTACTTAACCTATACTACTTATAAAGTGATACTTATACTACACTGTGTTTCTATAACTTGATAGAAACACGGAAAACATGTTTTCTATTTCTTTTAGAAAGCACCGTGACGAAAAAAAGGAAGACAACTTGTTAAGTTTGATTATCAAAATGTAAATTCTCTTTGTTCGCGCCATCATTACGTCAAGAGCTCGTGCTAGTTCTGTGTTTCTATCGAGTTATAGAAATACGATTTTTAACCAATCAGCGCGCGTATTCTCTTAGGACTGTTCTTTTTAATTTTACTTATTAATGTCATCACTCGGTAATGTATGAACTATGTTGTAAGAAGAAACTGGATTGTAGCAATGATCCCTATTGCGATTTAAAGGGTTCCCTAAAAAACAAGATCTAGTCTATCATCCCTAGCGCCATTACAAAGTGTATGCACGATGAGTTTCCCTGCAAAAACGTTTTCATCAGTCAAAATTAAAGGAAGTGAAATCTGTGAAGTCTTGCTTGACTCAAAACACAAAGATGCAACACATACTATTATTATGTGAACCGTTAAGGGTACAAAGTGGTATATGGTAACTTCTTTTATATATTCTTTATGCTTACATAAAGAATACCATGTTCCCTCGTTCTTATCCATGATTCAGTAAAAGAAAAGGTTGTTGCAGCCCAGTATTTTTCTAAATAATGCATAAAAGATTGTGAACTTCTTTTGTTTGCCTCATTCACACAGGGTTATCTTGACCAATCCGTACGAGACTGTACGAAAGGTCGGTGTATTCAGTGTTTAACTATTAATGCTCTGCATTCTATTCAATTTATATGTTAAGAAAGACTAGGAAATTTTTAAAAAGGCTCTTTTTTACATTATCTTATCAATCTAATTTAATCTATAAATGTGCGCCAAATGCCGATCCAATACTTAAACGTTAGGTTTCAAGATATAGTGTATTGAAATTTGTACATGTACTAACCAATGTGTGTGTTTGGCAATTCTTGACTGTATTTTCTCGCTTTTTCTAATTTTCACTGGTGGCAAAAATCTGCTGTTATAAATGAAAATAACTTAATTAGTAAGTTTTGTTCGCCAACAAAACTGTAATGAGTTTCATTTTCAATTTTAATGAAACAAAGAAAAACAATATACAGCTTCCTCGAATTATTTTGCCACTAGCTGCTATGTATTGTATGTAACAAATCTTTATCAATACTATTCTAAACAATGTTTCTTGGTCTAAATAACATACATTAATTCTGTTTGACGTTATTGTAATTGTTATCAGTCAAAATTGATAATCGTTGTTGTTTTGTTCTTGTTCTCTTCTTTGCTGTCATGTCTACAGCTTTGAATATCAGTACAGCGATAGGCTTCCAAGAGGGAATTTTTGAAGCGATAATGCTCAAGACATGTACTCTTGAAGTAACTGGTGAAATTCAAGGTGCTTTTCAACTGGCGGTACTCCTTAAGACCTTAGATTTCAAGGTAAATAAATTGAATGATGTCTATGTAGAAGCTGCATTACTTACGCGACAAGAAGTGACGCAACCCATGAAGGTGACTAAGATTGTTACTTATCACTTGATCGGAATTGTTCTTGGTTTTTTTACTCAAAATAGCGTCCTCTCTGCATGGTCAAGTACGTTTGCTGTTCTCACTCACTTACTCACTCGCTCATTCTCATCTTCGCGACTGAGACATAAGGCCTTCAAGACTTTAGTTCTCCACTTTTCGCGGTCCCTGACGATCTTTTCAGCCTCCGCCCAGACCAAGCCAAGCTCTTGAGGTCTGCGGTCACAGTTTTCAGCCAGGTGGCCTTTGGCCTTCCTCTATGCCGCTTGCCTTGAGGGGTCCACTTACTCTTTTACAGCTAGTTGATATTCTAAGTGGATAAGGGAGATAACACTCTTAGTTTGGGGTAAACTAAGAGACTCATAAGAGTTATTATGATGTTATATACTGTTCTTTACCCTTTCTTAGTGATGCATAAGACTAGTTTTACTAGGCGACTGAGATTTGATTATTTACTATCGCATATATGGGAATGGTATTATACGATACGTTTTTATAAGAGAAAGTTCTTGAGTTGTTTCTTCAAACGGTCTTTTAACTGTCTTACTTAGAAAGGTCAGCCATCTTCTGTTATTCAATTCGTAGCAAATGAAAGCTTAGAAGAATCTTTGGAGTCTATGCAACATCTATACTTATATCGTTACTTCAACTACAGATTGACGTACGTGAGTGAAGCGTTTCGTTAACATCAACGTTAACGATGCTCGGTACTAAGCATTTTTTTCTTATTTTAGAAAGCAAAATCATGTGTTAAGAGATTAAGGGAGAATTTGGAAAGAATTTTCCGAGAGGTTTGTTTTTTGGACTGCTTCCTCCATATTATAAGTGTAAATGTAGATTTGGGGCTCGCTATAGTCTATTGAACGCTACTCATTTTTCATGCAGTGAATAGGCCATATTCGTATTCTCGGTATTAGACTAAAACTAGCTTGCAATAGAGGCTGGTGCGCGGGAATATCATTAAAAAGCGACAAATGCCATTTACATTGTAAAAGCCCCCCGCATTAGCCTCAGTTGCAAGCTAGTTCCAGTCCAATACCGAGAATACGAATATGGCCTATCAAAGCTTGTTAATGTAGTGATAATCACTTGTCAATCATGACGTCATATCACGCCCAAATGACGTCACATTTCCATAGGCCTACCATGTTGGATTTGTCATCTGGATTTCAATATTTTTTTTCAGGAATATGAGAATAGCTCATAATTGTTAAATAATAATAATAATAATAATAATAATAATAATAATAANTCATCATCATCATCATAATAATAAAAGCAATTCTCAAAGTCTGACCACTATAGCTTGTTTGATTAAAGATATTCGTGACATTGCCTGTGGGCCTTAGGAACAGAGAAATATGTTGAGCACAAACCAAGAAATAACTCCCAGTCCGTACTCTTTATAAACTTTCTGTACCTGTATGGCAACTATCTAAATTTTTGTTTTGTTTTTGTTTTTTAATGTACTTTGCAGGACTCAACACTTGCTTATGAGCTTGGAGACGATCTTATGGGTACTGGAATTCAATTTTTTACAAACAACTGTTTTAAGGAAGCCGCTGAATATTTCACTGAAGTTATTCGCCTTGTGTGTGAATTTAACTTCATCCGCGAAGCTTACATATACCAAGCCAAATGCTATCTTAATCTGGTAAGCTCCATGATAGCTTTTCATGAAATGTTTCGGACTCTGACTCGCAATGACAGTTATTGAGTTAAGCTGAACGTGACCATTTTGCTCCATTT